TAGACAAATCACTCTCATTAAAGCTTTTGTATTTTGAAATGCATCCCCTTTAAACAAAATCTGCATCTTGTAGTCAACATACATTCCCGTTTCAAGGGTGAAAGAATACATTCAAATGACCTCAAGCGAAGAAATTTTGAGAACATTTTAGAAATTTCATTAAATTATATCAATTTACTCATTAAGCAGTATGTCACCATGTCGTTTGTTTTGAAATATGGACATCAACAACTCATCGTTCATTGACGCAAAATGACATAAACATTTTCACAAAATTGTCAAATAATTGCTCTTCGAATTACTGGACGACAAAGAGCTTCTTGTTTGACAAATTAACAACAAAACAACAACAACAACAGCGAATAAAATTAAGAAAGCAAAATGAATTAATTACAATAATTGACCGACAACATGCCGTAACGTTATGATGTGCTCTCTCTCTCTCTCTACCCACACTCGCATAAATTTTTCGGACGAAAATTTCCCTCCAAGGTCAAAGCGAACAACAAATATAATCAAATAAAAGTTTTGTGGCCGATGAAATACAGAAATTATGCAAAAATATTTAAATTGTTATTGTTGCTGTTGGAATCCTTCAAAAGGCAAATTTTCATTTACAACAACATCATTAAACAATATTTTAGCTTGTAATTTTATGACCGATTTTCAATGTCCTGACCTTGACACTGGCTCCTTGTGATGAAATTCGTTTTATGAGCAAACTTAGACACATCAATTTAATGATTAATTATGCCTGGAGGAAAATTGTGGTGGGGGATTTTTGTTTGGGTTTCTTTTGATGTCTACACGACTGTGGTTTTGTTTCTTGGAGAAAGGTGGCACTGAATTAAGATTTAACAAATTAAAAAGCAGTAAGTTTGGCCGGGCCGAAATTTGAATACCCTCCACCATTTGGAACGAATTTGGAAATTTTCAAAAAAAATTCTTAAAAAATTCTGTTGAAATTTTAAAAATACCGAATATAGCCGTTATATTGGGGTCAATACCAAGTGGGCCTACATAGGCATTGTTTGTCATAAGCCATTACCATATTCAAATTCGAAAATTGAAATAAACTGTGAATAATGTAGCTAAAATCATCAAAATATCGTATATGGGGAGGTGCCGTTATATCAGAGCTGCGCGAAGACCTGGACCTGCATAGACAATTTTCTGTCACAGGCGAACTTCAAATACGACATCTCAAACAATTTCGGTGGATATTGTGCCTAAACTCGTCAAAATACCGAATATAGGGAGGTACTGATATATGGGGCCTATACTAAGACCTGGACCTGTCAAAGACTGTAGTTCCCATTACGAACTCGAAATACGTAATTCAAAACAATTCCGGTAAATTATGACGCTAAAATCATTAAAATACTGAATATTGGGAGGTACCGTTATATGGGGGATATAAGAAGACCTGCACAGACATCGCTAAATCGGCTTAGAATTTTACGCTGATCAAGAATATATATACTTTGTTAGGTCTGACCCTCCATAGTATTGCAGAGGGTATAAAAATTAGACAAGTTAAAATGTGTACCCTCAATGTTAGAATATTTATATATATTTTGACTTCTGTTATTATTATTCAAATTATTGACCCTCTATGAAGTAGGTTCTGAAGGAATGGGCCAATATTGTAAATTTCATATTGGACCTAAATAAATATATATAAATATTGCAAGGTTTGTACTACATTTGGTTACTTCCTTCATTTTATAAGAGGTACGTGATATTTTTAGAAGATGTTAAGATGTGTGTCGACCGACAAAAATATTGGTATGGACAAAATTAGAAGAAAATCGAACATATATATCCAATATTATACGAAATCATAAATTTCATATTCTTCTCAGGTTTCTGGTTGAGAGAAATATTTAGATATAGCAGGTTGTAAAGAATCGCTGTCTTATTTCGCAAGTTATGACAGATAAAAGTATAGAAAATGTTGATCCTTTGTGGGTGAGGTATAAGAAGGGGTTCGCAGATAAGTATCATCTTCACCACAGATCTTGTGTTAGCAAAAATGTTTGTATGTGTGAAATTTGAAGAGAGTTGGATGCTTATTTCGCTTTGTTTGAGCGTTTTTTTTTTAATCTTGAACCCAATGTGGGGGAGGTACCAGAAGAAATGGTCCGATCTCTATCATCTTTATAACAGATCTTGTATTAATGGAAATTTGGAGATGTAGGAAGTCTGAATGGAATCGGATGTCAGTTTCGAGTTTTATGAGCTTCACGGGTAGTCAACATTTTGACACTTTGTGGGGGAGGTACCAGAAGCAGTGGACCGATATATCCCATTTCACAGTAGATGTCAATAAAAATAATGGGATGTGTGTAATTTGAAGACATTCGGATTCTTACATCTAATATGAAAAGATTTATAACTATTCAAAATGTTGAGCCTTTGTGGGGGTGGTACTTGATGGAGTGAGTCGACATTGTCCATTTTCTCACCTGACCTAGTACTAATGCAAATATTAGTCAAGATGGAGCAAAATCGGATTATACTTTCTCTTTCTGTGCAGTAAAATATTTTTTTTTAAAATGTTGACGTTTTATGTAGGAGGTACTAGAAGGTGTGGACCGATATTGCCCATCTCCAAACTCGACCTAATTTTGATAATAATAATATGATACTCCACGTTTGAACAAAGAAGGGCACTGCCTCGTGCGAACTAGTTAGACAGATGGGAGAACGGATATCGCTTGATCGACTCGGAATGTCTCGAAAGAGATTTAGCCTAAAGAGTCTCAGGGTGTAAGCCATTACTTCGATAAAACACATTTTGGCCGAATTATATGGTATGTACTAGGTCTGCGAAAAACTCCCTCGAATTTGCACAAAGAGTGATTCTCAGTAGAATTTGAACGTAAGAGCTCCTGGGAGCAGACAAAAAAAAAAATTATTAGCAAACTCAATTTTTCGATGTCGCTCGAAAAGGAGGGAACATATTTTTCTCGTTTTTTATTGGAAGCAAAATCCGTTTAAAATCGAGCCGGTTCTACTCTACACTCTTTTAGTTTTTTATACCCTACACCACATTATGGTAAGAGTATTATGTCTTTGAGCATTTGTTTGTAACATGGAGAAAAAAGCGAAATAGACCCATACCTACCTTTGGGGATCTTCATAGAGGCACTTTCTGAGTCGATTTATGCATGTCTGTCCGACCGTCTGTCCATGTATATTTCCGAACAAAATGCAGGTCGCATTTATCAGCCGATTGCGATTAAATTTTCCATACAGTGTTTGTTTGGCTCACGGACGAACCCTATTGAAATTGGGAAGAATCGGTTCAAATACAGATATAGTTCAAATATATATTTATATATTAACCGATTTCGGGTGAATTGTGCACCAAATGGTCAATATCAGTCCAAATGACCGGAATTTTGGCACATCCGACCGAATTCAGTCTAGAAGCAATTACATAAAATTTTGGTGAAAATCCGTTCTGATATAGCTATAACACCATATATATGTTTCATACTGGTGGTGTTTAAGTTCCCCACATTCATAATATGCACTCCACAAGAATGATATGTGGAACTAGTTACAGCCCAGAAATACCTCTGATAAATTTTATTGAGTTCGGATCAGATTTGGATATAGCTCCCATATATATATATTTATCCGATATCAGGTTTATTGTGTACCAAATGGTCAATATCAGTCCAGTAGGGCTGGCAATTCCGACTGAATTCATCCTAGAAGCAAGTACTTCAAATTTGATGAAAATCGGTTTCAGATATAGCTATGGCTCCCATATATATGTTTCATTCGATTTTGGGTTTTAAGTCCCCCACATTTGTAATCTACATTCCACAAGAATGATATTTGGTATCAGATATCAGATACATCTCAGAAATAAGTGCCTTAAATTTTGCCAAGATCGGTTCAGATTTGGTTATAGCTCCCATGTATATATATCATCCGATTTGAAACTCGGTTCGATATATCTATTGTTTCAATAAATATTTATTAATAAAATCCTTATCATGGTCATATTAAGGACGATACAGCAATATTTTTTGGTACTTGAAGTGTAAAAGCCTTCGTCAAATTTGTTGAGAATCGATTCAGAGTTGGATATAGTTCCCAAATGGTCACTACTCTAAAGCCATGATACGCAATCAAATAAGGTTCGCATAAATTCCCAATATAAACTTTTTTAGTTATGGAAGCTCTAATTAACACGTATAGTAGTGTAGGGTATCATATAGTCGGCCCACCCTACTTTTGACCTTTCCTTACTGATTTTTGTCATACCATTGTTGTATATCTATGTGTGTCTATGTACAAGATCTTCCACCCTCTTATCCAGCACAGTAACATCAAAACCGTGTGCTATCACACACACGCGCACATAATTTTAACTCGTAGACACATTTCCACGCTTAGAGCAAACTCTTGCTCTATTTTGAGACGGTCTAATTTTGGAAATGGATAAATTTTTTAAACATGGCGTAATTTTCACCAAATTTCTAATAGCCTAAAAAACTGACGCAATCTTTCAATTTTCAATATTTTGAAAAAAAAAAAATAAATAAATTGTCATTTTGAATTACATTTTTGTTATTTATACCTAAAATTTCAGACATGATTTCATTATCAATAAGGTGTAAAAATCTCTGAGCACTACCTTTTAATAGATTGTAGGCCATGTGTACTGGCCCTTCTGGCTTCTAACCCGCATTATTAAAGCTTCATTTATTTGATATTATTATTCAAAAGTTTCGCCAACTAATGTAAATCTTGTTGGATCTATTAAATGCCAATAAGAAAACTCAAACTCCAACCAAACCAAACTCAATCGAACCGAACCGAACAACATCCATTATATCACTTGTAATTTATTACTCCGACGACATGCTGAGCATTTCAAATGAACATTGAAAATCCCTATTTACTTTGTGGCATATTTTTCAAATGGTTATTTAATGTTGTGGCTCATTTCCTCGTTCACTTCTTCTTTGCCATTGCAGGCCTCTCCGACACAAAACTCCACGAGATTTTATTGGATAATAAAGAAATCAAACTCAGCTGGATGGTCGATTGGTATAAACAAGAAGTCCTCTTCCACCTCCAAAATGCCTTCAATGAACAGCATCGATGGTTCTATTTGGGCTTTTCGAAACGTGGTGGCATTGGGGATGCCGACATTTGTTTCTTCGAAAACCAAAATGGATTTTTCAATGTTGTTACGGACACCTACACGAGTTCGGATGGCAAGTATGTGCACAAGGACTATCAGCAGGACTGTGTACTCTTCAAGATGGATGAGTCGACGCTGGCGTTCAAGAGGAAGTTTGATACCTGTGATCCGTCGGATTTTCGTTTCCATGTAAGTGTTAAGAGCTCAAGAGAGGCTGTAGAAGAATAGTTTTTGTTGGCAGCAGCAGCAGCAGATGTGGCTAATTAATTAAAATATGTTTTTTTGTTTGTTTGTCTTCTCGTTCTTTTATCGCTTTTCCCTTTTGCATTTCTAAACAGGAAGGTACCATGTACATTATGTGGGCAAGAGGTGAAAATGAATTGGAATTGACAGATTATCAATTTCCCTTCCCAAATGTCTCCTCCCATGAGTCCGGCATAAAGATGATGCAACTACTGAGGGCCGATAAAATTATAATACCAGAAACGTAAGTAGTTTTAACGAAGATTTATGTGAATGGAAATTTCGAAGAAAGATTTTTTAAAAGGTGGTGAGTGATAGTAAATATCTAAATATCTGTTTCAAAAACATTTGTGCTGAGTAAAAAAATGCGGGAAATAAAGGAGACTACCAAAACATAAAGTGAAATATTGAGAACGTTATTGAATGAGGTTTCCCAGTCCTCCCAGGAATTTGAAACATAAAACAGAGATTATCTCGCACATGGCACTTTACAAAGCTTTGAAAAGAAAAAATTATCTGGTGCTAGGCGACTTCTTATGCTGAGTACGTATTTCTGAGATGATGAATAGGGAGCTAAGCCGAGACAGAGCGAATCAATAGCTCCAACTTTTGTTGGAACAAGTCTATAACATCGATTTTGAATTAGTGAAGCTCCAGCTAGCTCGCCTTCAGATAATTTTCACGTTACAAATGAAAAAGAGAGGACAATCTAACCATTAAATTTGGATGGAAAATTTAATCCTTTTTATACCATACACCTCATAGCGGTAAGGGTATTATGTCTTTGTGCATGGATAGATCCATAGTTACTTTCTAGGATCTTCATAGAATCACTTTCTGAGTCGATTTATGCATTTCAGTCCGTCAGTACACGTATTATTGTAAACAAAATGCAGGTCGCATTTATTAGCCGATTGAAATGAAAATTTTCAAACAATACTTGTTTGGACCACGGAAGAACACTATTGAAATTGGTGAGAATCGGTTCAAATTCAGATATAGATCCCATATATATCTGCAACCGATTTCGTATTAATTGTGCACCAAATGCCCAATATCAGTCCAAATAATCTGAATTTTGGTACATTCGACCGAATGTTTCGCCAAAGGAGCTAGAACCCATTATGACCTACAAATACCAATTTTCAGACAAATCCGTGAAAAAATGTGGCAAAAATCATCAAATTACCGAATATCGGGAGGTACCGTTATATGGGGGCTATACCAAAACGTGGACCTTTAATTACAATGACTCGCCACACGAACTGGGACCCATTATGATCTACAACTACCAATTTTTAGACATATCCGTGAAGAAATGTGTCAAAAATCATCAAAATACCGAATATCGTGGACCCATACATGCAATGTTTCGCCACCGGAGCTGAAACCCATTATGACCAACAAATACCAATTTTCAGACAAATCCGTGAAAAAATGTGGCATAAATCATCAAAATACCCAATATTGGGAGGTACTGTTATATGGGGACTATATCGGAACGTGGACCTGATTATGAATAATATATATATGTACTTTATGGGGTCTACGACGAATATTTAAGGATGTTACAAACGGAATGACAATGTTAATATACCCTCCTTTCCAAGGTGGAGGGTATAAGTCAAACGCCATAATTTTTATACCCTCCACCATACTATGGAGGGTATATTCATTTTGTCATTCCGTTTGTAACTCCCCGAAATACTCATGTCAGACCCAATAAAGTATATATATTCTTGATCAGCGTAAAATTCTAAGACGATTGAGCCATATCCGTCTGTCTGTCTGTCTGTTGTAATCATGCTATCATTCGAACGAATTGAGATAGAAGGCTAAAATTATGCACACATGTTTATTTTTCCAGTAGGCAGGTTAAGTTTGTAAATGGGCCATGTAGGTCCACGTTTTCATATAGCCCCCATATAACGGTACCTCCCGATATTCGGTATTTTGATGATTTTAGCGACATTATTCACCGGGATTGTTTCATATTTGGCATTTGAAGTTCGGAATGGATACTACAGCCTGAGACAGAAAATTGTCTGTGCAGGTCCACGTCTTCGTATAGTCCCCATATAACGGTACCTCCTAATATTCGGTATTTTGATGATTTTAGCGTCATTATTCACCGTAGTAGTTTCAAATTACGTATTTAGAGTTCGTAATGGGAACTACAGTCTGTGACTTTCTGTCTTGTCTATACAGGTCCAGGTCTTCGTATAGCTCCTATATAACGGTACCTCCCTATGTACGGTAATTTGATGATTTTGGCTACTTTATTCACCGTTTTTTTCAAATTTCGAATTTGAATATGGTAATGGCTTGCCTATGTAGGTGCTTGTCGTACAGGCCCTAATATAACGGCTATATTCGGTATTTTAAAAATGTTAACAGAAATTTTTGCGAATGTTATCTTTTTCGAAAATTTTCAAATTCGTTCTAAATGGTGGAGGGTATTCAAAGTTCGGCCCGGCCGAACTTACCGCTTTTTCACTTGTTACATTTATTTTTTAATTTTATTAAATGAATACAAAAAATGTCGGAAATAGCATTAAATTTTAGAATAAGTTTAGTCTTGTTCGAAATATTCAACTTTGGCACGAATTTTGGCTTTCAAACCGCGAATGAAACCCTCACACGCTGCCCGAATGTTGGTCTGTAGTATTTTGACTCATTCCCGGCGATGCTCTTGCTTGAGGTGATCGACACTTTGGTATTTTTTAGTGCCAACCTTGCCTTCCAAGATACTCCAGCCACAATAGTTCAACGGATTGGTATCCGGAGATTTTGGTGGCCATTGTGCGCTAGAAATGAAGCGAGGAACCTCATTTTCTAACCATTTTTGGGTGGCGCGTGCTGAGTGCGATGGTGCTGAGTCCTGTTGGAATGTCCAAGGTCTGCGGCCAAAATGTTTGCCAGCCCAAGGCTTTAATACACCCTCCAGAATATTTTCGCTATAATATTCGGCATTTATTCTGATGCCACGGTCGATTAATACGAGCGGAGAGCGACCATTGGCTGTTATGGCGTCCCACACCATCAATGTGGCCGGCGCGTGAGTTCTGATGGCCAACGGAATGTGCACATTTACAGTAGACCTCTTTGGCAAGTAAACGCGGTCATTTTGTTTGTTTACAAACTGCTGGACAAGGAATGTTTTCTCATCGAAGAAAACCATATTCGGCAGTTCACAACTTTCGGTCAAGCGAAGCAGCTCTTTAGAGTCTATTTTGCGGTGTAAGTCCTTGCGGTGCAGTGTAAGTCCTTGCGGTGCAGTGTAAGTCCTTGCACTTTTTGGAATTTCAGAGCTGATTTTTCAATTTTTGCCGAATGGAATATTGCGATATGTTCAGCTCACTAGCCATTTTTCGGCCATTGCGACGCGTGTTTCGATCAAGTCGCTTCTTTACTTTTCGAACCATTTCTGCTGACATTGCTACGCTACCAGTATTACGGTTATGCTGGATTGCTCTTACGATAGCCCCTTGTGATTTTCCAGCCAAATATAAAGAAACCACACTATCACGCTTGAATTCTATCACGAATAACTTTCTTTCTGGAAAATTCTCACTAAAATGCTTTTGTAGCCTCGTAAACAATATAATGAGCTGTCAGTGGAATAATTTTAACAGCTGTCGGACGAGTGGCTTTCAAATGACTGCAGTCTAAAGTTGGTTGCAGTTTTTTCTTCTCACCCTGTATATAGCTATAGCTCCCATAGCTGTATCTAAACCGATTTTCATCAAAATCTTAAGAGCTTGCTTGTAGACTGGATTCCGTCGGAAGTGGCAAAACTAAGTCCATTTGGGCTAATATTAGCCATTTGGTGCACAAATAACCTGACATCGAATAAAGATATATATGGAGACTATAGAGAAATCTGAATCGATCTTCACAAAATTTTAGGCATCTGATATCTGGTACCAAAAACTATCGTTGTGGAGTGCATATTACGCATCTGAGGGGCATTAACACCAAATCGAATAATATATATATATATAATGGAGCTACAGCTATATCTGATGCGATTTTCACCAAATATGAAGTACTTGTTTCTACTATGAATTCAGTCGGAATCGCCAAAATTCAGTCAATTTGGGCTGATATTACCCATTTGGTGCACAATAAACCTCGGATATAGATATGTACGGAAGCTATATCCCAATCTGAACCGATCTCGATAAAATTTGGCGTACGTATTTTTGAGCAGTATCTGATGTGAAGATGAAATATATCGGTCTAATTCCTCTAGTACCTTCTCCCCAAGGGATCAAAATTTTGAAAATCCATGAAGAACAAAAAACTCGAAATTAATATCCGATTCCATTCAGACTTGGCACATCTCAATATTTCTATCAACACAATATTCGCTTTAAAGATGGTAGAGATTGAACCAAGCCATCTGCTACCTTCCCCATTAATAGTCAAAGTTTTGAATAACCAATCGATTATAAAATTCGAAATAAGCGTCCGACTCTTTTTATATTTTACGCATCCAATTATTTCTACTAGCACGAGATCTACCGTAAAGATGGGATATATTGTTATATTTCAACTGCTAAATATTATCCGAGAACCATCCAAATTAGTGGACTTCTATCCAGCTTTCTTTAGCCCAATGTTAAATTCGGTGTCGATTAGTCTATAATTGCGACATGCAGAACAACTGCAAAATCAGGAAAGGTTTCTGTATTTGGTCCATTTCAACTCCTAAAAATTTTGCTATCATCCCCAACAACAATAGACTTCTATTCTGGCCATTGCCCCACCTACATTTTGGGAGGAACGGTCCATAATTGCGACCTGTAGCGTAATTGCAAATTGACATGGACAGACGGTCGGACATACATAGCTAGATCGACTCAGTTTGGCAAGATAGGAAGATCCTTATGTGCAGGACCAATATTTAAAGGTGCTACATAATTTTTGGCTCTCAAACTTATAATACCCCCTAGACATAGTGTTGTAGGGTATACAAAATGTGGAATGCACTTTCTTTTTATTTGAATTTGCAAAATTCTAGAGTCCCTCCGAAATGATATTTCCTTCCATTCGTCTATCTATCACAGAGATATGTTAATCACTCTTCATTTAAATAAGCCAACAGATGGAGGTGGAGAAAAAATCTACAAAAGCGAATTAAAAACTATTGTTTTTATAGTTTAAGAAAACTTTTTATCTACCCTCCCATCTCCTGCAGTTTTTGCTTTCTTTGTTTTTACAGCTGTCCATATCAATTTATTAACGACTCTACTTTTCTTTTTTGTTTTTCTTTAATCTATCTTCATCGCATTCCCTTGGTGCTGATGCCATTGTTCTTACTGCTGCTGCTGCTGATGTTGATGCTGCTGTTGTTGTTTTTGCTGCGATTGTAAAGTGACCTGAAACAAGTCGAAATACGACTCAATAAAGTGACAGTGCCTGACAAAGAGACCACTTATTGGTGTCACATACAAAAGCTCGATAGTTTCCTGCAACAAAAACATCATATTGTTCAATTTGAACCGATCATTACGACACCGGGTCTTGTCCATCACATGGAGGTGTTTCACTGTGAAACCGACTGGGACGTTGAAATTCCGCTCTACAACGGCGATTGTCAACAGATGCCCGAAGAGGCAAAAGTTTGTTCGAAAGTTATTGCCTTGTGGGCCATGGGTGCGAGTACATTCACTTATCCGCCCGAGACTGGATTACCCATTGGCGGCAAAGCATACAATCCGTACATTCGACTCGAGGTGCACTTCAATAATCCAGAATTTGAGAAAGGTAGGTAGGTGGAAGGAAGGATGAAGTTCGGAGGAGTGGTGGTGGTGCTGTAGCAGCAGCAGCATCATCACATTGTCAAAGAGTGATTTATTTCGCCGGTGTGTTGTTGTCGGTGTTGATGAAGTACGCCTGCCATGGATGGTGGCAATGTGAAAGTGCTGAGTAGTAAATAATTCGAGATTTATCATTGTCAACAGTGTGCAGGGTTGGATTACACTCAAAGAAAAAAGTAGGCTAAAAAGTTGTTAAGCAACACATTGAAATATACATCATTGGTTGTAACGTGGTGGTGATTAAAAGCAATAATATGTTGTCTGATCTAGAATTGTAAGAATGCAAAAGTTTTTGCGACAATTATCGACTTTCTAATTATGATATTGAAAAAAAAAATCCAAATCTTGTAGATTATTGCAGACTCTGGAATTTACTTCGGAGATATTTGAAATTGATGATCGGAAATTCGATATTTACGATGAATTGAAGTCAATGGAGATTAATGTTGGGGTTTTAAAAGAATTGAAAGAAATCGGAAATCTGACGGATGTTTCGATGTTGGTTTTCGATATGCTGACGATTTTTTAGGTAACCAGGAACTGTGAAGAACGCTGTCAACTGATAGGTAGTCGGAAATGACAATGCTGGAAAAAATATTGTTTATGTATTCTGTAACGACAAGATTTCTCCCCTTGGGTTGGAATAGCTCGTCGGGGTCCAGGGGTTCGTACAGATATTTCATTTATTGAGATAGAATGAGAAAGACAGCGGTTTACGTTTTGATATTATATTTTTATTCAAAGTGAAACTTGAAATACGGTATTGGGGCTTCTTCCACTCGAGACCTGGATAAGTACTCAAGGAACGGGACAAGGATACAGGAACAGGGTGCTCAGGATTCGGGGTGGATTCTCTGCGAGAGACCTGGATAAGTACTCAAGCACTACAAGGATCTAGGGTACGGTTGCAAGAGACCTTAATAGGTACTCAAGCACAACAAGGATGTAGGATACGGTTGCAAGAGACCTTAATAGGTACTCAATCACAACAAGGATCTTGGATACGTTTGCAAGAGACCTTAATAAGTACTCAAGCACTACAAGGATTTCGGATACGCTTGCAAGAGACCTTAATAAGTACTCAAGCACGATATTCAAGGATACGATTGCAAGAGACCTTAATAAGTACTCAAGCACTACAAGGATCTAGCATACGTTTGCAAGAGGCCTTAATAAGTACTCAGGCACTGCAAGGATCTAGGATACGTTTGCAAGAGACCTTAATAAGTACTCAGGCACTACAAGGATCTAGGATACGTTTGCTAGAGACCTTAATAAGCACTACAAGGATTTAGGATACGTTTTCAAGAGACCTTAATAAGTACTCAAGCCCTACAGGATATTCAAGGATACGGTTGCGAGAGACCTTAATAAGTACTCAAGCACTACAAGGATCTAGGATACGGTTGCAAGAGACGTTAATAAGCACTACAGTATATTCAAGGATACGGTTGCGAGAGACCTTAATAAGTACTCAAGCACTACAAGGATCTACGATACAATTGCAAGAGACCTTAATAAGTACTCAAGCACTACAAGAATCTAGGATACCTTTGCAAGAGACCTTAATAAGTACTCAAGCACTACAAGGATCTAGGATACGATTGCAAGATACCTTAATAAGTACTCAGGCACTACAAGGATCTAGGATACATTTGAAAGAGACCTTAATAAGTAAGGAAACTAGGACTAGAAGGATATTCTAGGGTGCCACTGCAATCTGAGGATTAAAGAAAGGATGTCACTTACCGAAGCTGGTGTTGTCCGTTCACGATCTGGCACTGACTGCCGCGAATCTGCCTTTGACTGCACTTTTATACCCGGCGCCACCACGTTTTCACAGTGGAGTAACGGGAACTTGTTTACAAATTTTGGTTACCACAACAACATCACATGTGCTCATCACCGCCAATGGTAGTGATGAGTGATGCGGTGTGTTGTTGCGATAACGGTTCAACTCTCTTGAGTGTGGTTGCTCGCAAGAATTTTGCTAGGCTAATTGGAATTTATGATATCGTTTTGTGTAGGCAAAAATGACGAAGGATTTTCGCCGTCACAATTCTGAGGACGACCTAAGAACGAGTTTTAGCCCCAATTTTTTCAAGAAATGACTATGACAGGGACTAAAGAGAAACAAGTAAAAAAAACAGTAAGTTCGGTTGTGCCGATATTAGAATACCCTAAACCATTAGAACGACTTTAGAAATTTAAAAAAAAAATCCGTTAAAAATTCAATTAAATTCCTAAGAATAGCAAATATAGCCGTTATATTGCGGTCTATGCGAAGATAATTTCCTATCACAGGCTAAAACACATATTGGGAACTTCAAATACGAGTTTTCAAACAATTTCAGTGAATATTGTACCTAAAATCGCCAAAATACCGAATATAGGTACTGGTATACGGAAAACTGGACCTGCATCGACAATTTTCTGTCATAGGCTGTAGTTCCCATTACGAACTCTAAATACGACATTTGAAACAACTCCGGTGAATAATGTCGCTGAAATCATCAAAATACCGAATATTGGGAGGTACCGTTATATGGAGGCTATACGAAGACGTTGACCTGCATACGCAATTTTTTGTCATAGGCTGTAGTGCCTATTACGAATTTTAAATGGGAGAATTTAAAACCACTCCTGTGAATAATGTCCCTAAAATTGTCAAAATATGGAATTCCGGGGGTATCGTTATATGTGGGCTATTCGATATCGTGTACCTATATAGACATTACACTTCCAGGGGGTTAAGTGCTCTGAAGGAACTCCTTTTGTGGATTTTCAGACAATTCCATTGAAAAATGTGGCTAAAATCATCAAAATACCGAATATTGGGAGGTACCGCTATATGGAGGATATACGATATCGTGGACCTATATAGGCAGATCTCTTCCGTAAGGTAAAGTAACCACAAAGGACTCCTTGTGTAGGATTTAAGACAATTTCATTGAAAAATGCGAATATATCGTGGACCTATATAGAAAATTCTCTTCCAGGGGGTAAAGTAGCCACAAAGGGCTCCTTGTTTAGAATTGCAGAAAATTGCATCGAAAAATGTGGCTAAAATCATGAAAACGGCAAATGTAGAAGGGTTTCCGTTTCATGGGGGATATACGATATCGTAGACCTACATAGAAAATTCTCTTCCAAGGCGTAAAGTACTCAAAAGGAACTCCATGTGCGGATTTTCAGACAATTCCACTGAAAAAAATACCTACAATCATCAAAATACCGGATATCGAGATATCTTGGATCTTGGGGTGTATACGATATCTTGGATCGATATAGACAATTCTCTTCCATGGGGCAAAGTACTCACAAAGGACTCCGTGTGCAGAATTTCGCACAACTCCATTGAAAAATTGAGCTAAAATCATCAAAATACCGAATATTGGAAGGTACCGTTGAATGGGGGCTATACGATATCGTGGACTTATATAAAAGCAATTCTCTTACAGGCGGTAAAGTATCCGCAATGGACTCATTGTGTAGAATTTCAGACAATTCCATTGACAAAGGTGGCTAAAATCAAAAAAAAAAAAAAAAAAAAAAAAAAAAAAAAAATGCCGAATATCGGGAGGTATCATTATATGGGGGATATACGATATCGTGAACCGATATAGCCTATCCTCTTGACCTGCCTGCACACAAAATACTGATCTGTGCAAAAAGCGTGATTACAACAGACATGCCAAAGGACGGACAGGGCTAAATTGTCTTCGAATTTTATACACCTTTGCATATTTAGTATAGCTTCATATAACAAATAATAAATAAAATATAAAACAGATCGGATGAACAATATAGATGGTATCTATACATATATCTGACCCTGAATACACCAAATTTGACATATGGTTTATAGGCTCGATTTGGTGGTAAGTGTCAAATTCCATTCCATTTGGGCTAATATTACACGTTTGTTGCACAATAAGTAGCAAATCGGACGAAAATATATATAGGAGCTATATCGAAATTTCAAAATTTCATCAGAATCGGACAATAAATGCGACCCTGACCACCTTGTGGGTATAATAATAACAATAATAATATTTATAATAATGTAAAATGCATGTGATCAATTAACCCATCACGTCACATAAGTCAGGATTAAAGGACAAAAAAAAGTAATCGCATCCGAATTAGGTCATATAATAAAGAAAATTATTCTACATTTCATGATACAAGCGAATATCTTCCCATTGTACTTTTGTCTCCAAAAATTAAGATCTAATTTTTACATTTTTCTTTGAGTGTATCATCCAATCCCGCACACTCACACAAATTCATCTTTATCAAGCTCAATGTTCGCAAAGTTAAAAAACCGAAAATAACATCATCGCCCTCATCAACATTAATTTTGCTTTCGTTAGTGACATTTTCTTCATTTATTTTCTCATCACATTTCCCCATCATCCTCCCAACCCTTACTATTTTCATTGAACTTTCTCTCTCAACCACCCTTTAACAGGTCACATCGATAGTTCAGGAATGCACATTAAAATGGTTTCAAAACTGAGGCAATTCGATGCTGGTGTCATGGAATTGGGCCTTGAGTACACGGACAAAATGGCCATACCACCGGGCCAAGTGGCATTTCCGTTGAGCGGCTATTGCATTGCCGAATGCACAGAATTGGTAAGTAATATGGGGAGATGGGGTGTGCGTGTGTGTGTGTATTGGTTGCATGGGCCCGTGTGTTTAAATATTCTCACAGAAATCTTTGGGCAAGTTTAATTTTCCAACTTTTGGTAATTGACATTTTTTTCTTTTCTTTTTTTTTTTGGCATGATGATGAAGCCATTTTTGCATATTAAGTGGGATGGGCAGGTGGGGAGCTACATGCCATGTAGTTAACTTTAATGGACTTGTTTCGGAAAACCATACGTATGTGTGTGTATGTGTGTTTTTTGGAAATTACATTGCTTGCAAACATTTTTACACTTTACTGCGTTTCGAAAATACATTTAAGTTAGCCTTTGGTGTGTTCTCTATTTTTTCGGTTCACATGTAAATTAGTTTACCTGTTCATCTAAACATTCATATGGAAAAAATTTAATGGAATTTATTTCCTCTTTTGTGGGGGAGTGAGAATGACTTTTGAACTGATGTAGTCAACTAAAAAATTGGGTAAATTTGGTTATAAAAATTTGAACAAAATATGCAGAGCAACAAATGTTAAATGACATAACTTTAAAAAAAAAATACTTAAATGGAGTTTTAACGTTTATATTGTGAACCAGTAGGGAAAGGTAAAAAGTCGGGCGCGGCCGACTATATGATACCCTACACCAACTATGAACTTTATTTGAATGCGTACCAAGGCTTTAGAGTAATCACAAATTGGGAACTACATCCAACTCTGAATAGATTTTCAACAAATTTGAGGGAGGATTTTGAGGATTTCTAGTACGAAATAACATGCCTGTATAGTGCATGATATGACTACGATGGGACTTACATTAGAAATATTTATTGAAGCAATAGTTATACCGGACCGAGTTTCACCAAATGGAAACATTTGGTTAAATATGAAAAATCTATCCAATTTTGGTTGAGGTTATACAGGAAGAGATAAAACAAAAAAAAAAAAAAACACCACTTAAAAAGCAGTAAGTTCGGCCGGGCCGAACTTTGAATACCCTCCACCATTTGGAACGTATTTGGAAATTTTCAAAAAATAAAATCCTTAAAACATTCTGTTAAAATTTTAAAAATACCGAATATAGCCGTTATATTGGGGTCTATACGACGTGGACCTACATTGGCATTGTTTGCCATTAGCCATTACCATATTCAAATTCGAAACTTGAAATAAACGGTGAATAATGTAGCCAAAATCATCAACATATCGTATATAGGAGGAACCTTTATATCGGAGCTGTGCGAAGACCTGGCCCAGCATAGACAATTTTCTGTCACAGGCTATAGCATCCATTACTAACGTCAAATACGATATCTCAAACAATTTCGGTGGGTATTGTACCTAAACTCGTCAAAATACCGAATATACGGAGGTACTGATATATGGGGCCTTTACGAAGACCTGAACCTGCATAGGGAAATTTCTGTCACAGACTATAGTTCCCATTACGAACTCTTAATACGTAAATTGAAACAATTCCGGTGAATAATGACGCTAAAATCATCAAAATACCGAATTTTGGGAGGTACCGTTTTATGGGGGCTATACGAAGACGTGGACCTGCATAGACAATTTTCTGTCATAGGCTGTAGTATTCATTACGAACTTCAAATACCAAATTTAAAACAATTCCGGTGGATAATGTCGCAAAAATCATCACAATACCGAATATCGGGAGGTACCGTTATATGGGGGCTATACGAAGACGTGGACCTGCCCAGATAATTTTCTGTCATAGGGTGTAGTATCCATTTTGAAGTGCAAATACCAAAGTTGAAACAATTCCGGTGAATAATGTCGCTAAAATCATCAAAATACCGAATATCGGGAGGTACCGTTATATGGGGGCTATATGAAAACGTGGACCTACATGGCCCATTTACGAACTTAACCTGCTTACTGGAAAAATAAACACGTGTGCAAAATTTTAGCCTTCTATCTCAATTCGTTCGAAAGATAGCGTGATTATAACAGACAGACGGACAGACAGACAGACGGACAGACTTAGAATTTTACGCTGATCAAGAATATATATACTTTGTTGGGTCTGACATGAGTATTTCGAGGAGTTACAAACGGAATGATAAAGTTAATATACCCTCCATAGTATGGTGGAGGGTATAAAAAACATTAAGTTCGGCCAGGCCGAACTTTTAACACCCTCTACCCTAGGGTAATGTAAACATTAGAACCAGTTATGACCTAATAATACCAAATTTTAGACATATTCGTGGGAAAATGTGGTAAAAATCATCAAAATACCGAATATCGGGGACCTATACATACAATGTTTCGCCAACGGAGCTAGAACCCATTATGATCAACAAATACCAATTTTTAGACAAATCCATGAAAAAATGTGGTAAAAAGTATCAAAATACCGAATATCGTGAGATACCGTTATATGGGGGAAATATTAAAGGCTGGACCCTGCATGGTTTCGCCACACGCACTAGGACCCACTATGACCTGCAAATACCAAATTTCAGACAAATCCGTAAAAAAATGTGACAAAAATCATCAAATTGCCGAATATTGGGAGGTACCGTTATATGGGGATTATACCAAAACGTGGACCGATATATCTCATTTTCAACACCAACCATCCTAGACACAATACAAATTAATCTGCTAAATTTTGACGCTCTACGTCAAATAATGTGGCCTGTATCGTGATTTCAAAAGACAGACGGACATCGTTAAATCGACTTAGAATTTTATGCTGATTATGAATATTATGGGGTCTACGACGAATATTTAGGGATGTTAACAACGGAATGACAAAGTTAATATACCTTCCTTTCCAAGGTGGAGGGTATAAAAACTGCAATAAGTCAAACGCCATGATTTTTAAATTTTTTTTTTTTTTTAATTTTATTGAATGAAAGCGAAAATGTCAGAAATATGGCCCGAATGTTGCTCTGCGGTATTTTGGCTCGTTCCCGGCGAAGCGCTTGCTTGAGGTGATCGACACTTTGGTATTTTTTAGTACCAACCTTGGTATTGGAATCCGGAGCTTTTGTTGGCCACTGTGCGCTGGAAATGGTGGCGCATGCTGAGTGCGATGGTGCTGAGTACTGTTGGAATGTCCAAAGTCTGCGGCCAAAATGTTTGGATGTCCAATGATTTAATACACCCTCCAGAATATTTTCGCTATAATATTCGGCATTTATTCTGATGCCACGTTCGGTTAATAGAAGTGGAGAGCGACCATCGGCTCTTATGGCAGCCCACACCATCACCATCACCATGGCCTGCGCTTGAGTTCTGGTGGCACATTTTCAGCTGACCTCTTTGGCAAGTAAACACGATCCTTTTGTTTGTTTACAAACTGCTGGACAACGAATGTTTTCTCATCGGAGAAAACCAAATTCGGCAGTTCACCACTTTCTGCCAAGCGAAGCAACTCTCTTCAGCTCTTTGGTGTCTATTTTCATTCAGTTGCGGTGTAAGTTCTTGCACTTTTCGGAATTTCAATCGCTTTACCTCGAGCTCATTTCGGCCACTACGACGGGGGTTTCGATCAAGTCGTTTTTTTTACTTTTCAAACCATTTCTGCTGTTTTCTTCCGACCAGATCATTGTCGTCGAGATACGCTACGTGCGATGGTACGAGACACAAAAGATTTATTCATATTTAAATGCTGAAAATGCTCCAACCATAGACACTTTTGGTTTTCCAGGCAAATATAAACAAATCATGCTATCACGCTTGAATTCCATCACGAATAACTTTTTTTCTGGAATATTCTCACCAAAATGTTTTTGTACGCTTGCAAACAATATAATGAGCTGTCAATGGAATAATTATAACAGCTGTCGGACGAGTGACTTAGAAATGACAGCAGTCTGAATTTGGTTGCAGTTATTTATATATGTGGACAATAACCGTAAAATTGGATGAAGTTGTGTATCGAATGTGAATAAAAATCTGAACCGATCTCTATAAAATTTGGCAGTGGTTTATTCGAGGAGTGTCTGATGTCCTGAATCAAATATCCTTGTTGTGGAGTGCATATTACACATGCGAGGAAATCGGATGAAACATATGATTATGAATTCCGTCGGTACTGTCAAAATTCAGTCCATTTGGGCATTTGGTGCACAATAAACCTGAAATCGGATAATGATATATATGGCAGCTATATCCAAATCTAAACCGATCTTGAGAAAAAATTTAAGCACCCAAATCGCACGAAACAAATATATGGAAGCTGTAGCTATATCTGAACTGATTTTCACCAAATTTGAAGTATTAGTTTTTAGGATAAATGCAGTCGAAATTGCCAAAATTCACAATAATCTTGATATGGGATAATGATATATGTGCCAGCTATATCCAAATCTGAACCGTTCTCGATGAAATTTGACAGAGCTATTTGTGAGCTGTATCTTATATCTGGTACCAAATATCATCCTAGAAAAGTGCATATTACAATTGTGAGGGACTTAATCTCCCAAATCGGATAAAAAATATATACGGAGCTTAAGCTATATCTGGACCGATGTTCTCCAAATTTGATGTATATGGTTCTAGACGGAATTCGGTCGGATGCGCCAAAATTCAGTTCATTTAGGCTGATACTGGTCATTTGGTGCACAATTAACTCGAAATCAGTTGAAGATGTATATATGGGAGCTATAAATATCCATTAAGCTCATAAGCTTAAGCATAAGCTGGTATCTCCTCCACGAAGGGTTAAAGTTTTGAATAAGTAAAACGATCGTAATGTCTGAAATAAGCATCTGGTTCTCCTCATATTTCTCACATCCCATTATTTCTACTAACACAATATCTGCTGCGAAGATGGAATGTATATGTCCACTCCTTCTGGTGCCACCCACATAAAGGGTAAACATTTTGTATACCAATATAGCTCATAAAACCCAAAATTAGCATCTGATTTCATTCAGACTTGGTACATCTTAATTATTCTATCAATATCAGATCTGGTATAAAGATCTTAGAGATTGGACAATTTCTTCTAGTACCTCCCACATAGGGTCGAAATTTTGAATACCAAACGAGAAACCAAAACGATCATAAAATCCGAAATAAACATCTGGTTCTCTTCAAGCTTCACACATGTCATTACTTTTACAAACACAAAATTTGCTGGCATATTTCGGTTCCCTCCTTCTGGCACTTCCCCCAGAATGGGTTCACAATTTTAAAGAACAAGTATCTAACTCTCTTCAAATTTCCAACATCCAAAGATTTTTGCTTACGCAAAATCGGTTGTGAAGATGATAGATATAAAGTAACCCTTTCTGGCACCTCACCCTGAAAGGGTCACGATTTCGAATACTTATATTTGTCATAACTTGCATAACAAGTCGCCGATTCTATACAACTTGCTATATCTAAATATTTATCTTAAATTGACTCTCGGAATTTCTGATTTCGTATAAATGTGGATATAAATGTTCGATTTCCTTTAAGTTCTGGACATAATAATATTTTTGTTTCATGCCTGTTTCCACCCTTTCCAAAAATTTTTACCTATCTCATATAAAATATAGGAAGTAGGCGATATGGTCCAAATCAGGCACGTTGTAATATTTATATCAGACTTAGGTCAGATATGAATTGGATAATATTTGCCAACTGCTTCTGAACCTCATTGACCATAATTGGTCGACAGTTTGAATAATCATAACTCAAGGCTGGGGGATTACATCTGTCGGCAAAAACCGACTGATACTTTTTAACTTGTTTTAATAATAATTCTAGCGAAAATTATTTATTTACTTACATTTCTCTTTTGTTATTTCAGGCTTTACCTCCATCCGGCATTGTTGTTTTCGGTTCGCAGCTGCACACTCATCTGCGTGGCGTACGAATTTTAACACGACATTTTCGTGGTTCCGAGGAATTGCGAGAACTAAATCGTGATGATTATTATTCACATCATTTTCAGGAAATGCGAAATTTGCATTACAAGCCACGAGTTTTACCGGTAAGTTTGTTCGTTTTTTGCACACCGCCCATGGCGGATGAACATTTGAATTGTACCATCCAGTTCAGTTCAACTTCGACCACAAACGAAAATAACTTTTTCTGTGAATGGTCGCTGTTGGTGGTGCGTCAGTTTTTTTTCTCCTTTTTTTTTTTTTTTGATGATAAAGTTTTGGAAAGAATCAGTCTGCTATGCAATTTTCCTTGAAATACTCACTTTGGCCACCTTCACTTGCATTGTGAGACCGAGGATCAACCATAAAATGATTGTGGTATTGTGGAGAAATGGAAAAAGGGAAACTGCCTGGAAACTGTAAAAATATTTCAATATTATAAAGTTTGCCCGGCAAAGTTAAGTTGTAGATACAGAAAAAAAAAATAGGAAGAAATAACAAATTCAATTTGATTTTTACTCAATTGCTTATTTAATAGCAAGGTTTGGAAGTTTTGGCCAATTTTAACAACTGAATAATGAAAATAATTTTGTACTGGCAAATTCAACTCTACTTGGTAAGGGTGAAATTTCTATAATATAAATATTTATTCTTGGTTAAAGTAGGTAAAAAAATTGTGTAAGGTGACTGGAATAGATTTGAGATTTAAAAGAAATAAAACTTCGAAACATACCAATTCGAAATATTCGTCAATAAAATCTTAAAAAAAAATTCGCATTAATGAACATTATTCCAGAAATGATTTTTATTGAAAGCGGAATTTGTCGATTCTCCCTATAACGGGAAAACAGATTTCATCACCTCAGATACTGAAGAACCTTTAAAAAATATTCCATAGAGTTCAAGATTTTGCTATAGCTTTTTTAAACTGTCCCTTCTGATTTTAAAGTATTTAATTTAATTAAATTAAATACACATCGAAAATAGTTACATTACATATAATAAATTTATACAGTGGAGCAAAATCGTACTTTCCTGTCAAATAAATTTCTAAAAATGGGTACATCAGTATATGTAGCTTTGTATTTTTCTTCCTTTATAAAAATAGGTATATTTCATGCCTTTCACAGCGATCTTCTTACCGAAATGCAGAATTCTAGCTCTTTTCCTGCTCTATGTACCAAATTTTTGTACTATTTATTACTTTTCATACATAGTACGTATATGCAAACCGATCTGCTAATGACAAGTTGAAAAGCGAATAAAAGGAGGTGCCGATATGCGTGGTTACATGAAGACGTAAACCTGCATTGAAATTTTTCCGTCATAGTTTGTAGTACCCATTACTAGCTTCAATTACGAAATTTTAAACAATTCCGGTAAATAATGTCCCAACAATAATGAAAATACAGCATGTCGGGACGTATCGGAAGGAGTGGTCCTACATACTGATTTTTATACCCTACACAACAAGGTGGTCAGGGTATTATGTCTTTGTGCATTTGTTTGTAACAGGCAGAAGGAAACGAGATAGACCCATAGTTCCTTTTGATGATCTGCATAGAATCACATTCTGAGTCGATTTATGCATGTCTGTCCGTCCGTCTGTCCATGTATTTTTGTAAACAAAGTACAGGTCGCATTTATTGCCCGATCCAGATGAAATTTTGCAAAGATCTTTTGTTTGGCCCAAGGACGAACCCTATTGAAATTGGAGATAATCGGTCAACATTTAGATATAGCTCCCATATATATCTTCGTCCGATTTGCCTTTTATTGTGCACCAAACGTGTAATATCAGCCCGAATTGTGTGGAATTTTGCATATACACCCAAATTAGGCCTGAAAATATGTGTGCCAAATTTGATCGAAATCGGTTTAGATATAGCTATAGCTCCCATATATATTGTTCATCCGATTTGTTATTTTTGTCCACCGCAGCCGTAATATGCACTCTGTAACAACAATATTTGGGGAAATATATCAAATGCATCTCAGAAATACCTTTGCTAAATTTTATCGAGATCGGTTCAGATTTAGATATAGCTCCCATATATAACTTCGTCCGATTTACCTTATATTGTGTACCAAACGTCTAATATTTGTCCAAATGGGATGGAATTTGGCACTTACGACCGAATTGAGTCTAGAAGCTAGTATTTTTGAAATTTGGTGAAGATCGGTTCAGATATAGCTATAGCTTCCATATATATTATTCATCCGATTTGTTATATTTGTTACCCACAACCGTAATATGTACTCCGTAACAACGATATTCAGGGAAATATATCAAATACTGCTCAGAAATATCTTTGCCAAATTTTATCGAGATCGGTTCAGATTTGGATATAGCTCCCATATATATCTTTATCCGATTTCAAATTAATTTTGCACCACATGGGCAATACAATTCCGAATTTAAAAGATACAAATGCTTCGGCATATTTAGTCCTTTGAACTTTAAATTATAATTATAATCATTGCGTGTATGATTGAATTCTCTCGTAAAAACAAAGTGGTGTAGGGTATCATAAAGTCGGCCCCGCCTGACTTGAAGACTTTCTTTACTGGTTTTGTCATATGCTTTAGCACCCACTACGAACTTTAAGTACGAATTTTGAAATAATTCCGGTATAAAATGTCGTGAAAATCATCAAAATACGGAATATCTGGGGTACAAATTTTGAAATACTTCCGGTACAACATGTCGCGAAAATCATCAAAATACCGAATATCGGGGGTACCGTTGTATGGGGGCTATATGATGTCGTAAACCTATATATACAATACCCTTCAAGGAGGTAAAGTACTCAAAAGGAACTCCTTGTGTGGACAATGGACAATTCCACTGAAAAATCTGGCAAAAGTCATCAAATACGGAATATCGGGAGGTACCGTTATATGGGGGACATACGATATCGTGTAACTATATAGGCAATTCTGTTCCAGGGGTTAAAGCACGCAGAAGGAACTCCTTGTGTAGACTTTCAGATAATTCCATTTAAGATGTTGGCTAAAATCTTTAAATTGCCGAGTTTTTCTTTTTTTGGGTGAGGGGCACAGTTTTATGGGGTCTATACGACATCGCGAGCGACATAGTCCATCTTCGAACTTGACCTGCCTGCAGACAAAAGACTGATCTGTGGAAAATTTTAGCTTCCTATCTTAATTTGTTTTGTCTCTAACATGACTACAGCAGACGGACGGTCATGGCCATATCGTCTCGGAATTTTACGCTGATCAAGAATAATACACTTTGTTGGGTCTAAAATTATTATTTCGGGTAGTTAGAAACGGAATGACGAACTAACAACAGTGATCCTGATACAAACATTTATATTTCCAGTTCAGTTCTTCCACTCCTTACAGAATTTAGTACTTTTTGTACACTATATAGAACGCATTTTCAAAAACTGTCCTTTGTCTTACCCACAGTTACCTCCATACCAGAATTTATAAGTTCGGCTCTACCCCTACACGTATATCGAATTTACTATCATTTGATACTTTTCTTGTCCGTCCGTCAGACCATGATAATTCATAATCACGTTACAGCTTACAATTGTGGTCCGATCCTCATAAAATTTAGCTTGGAATTTGAATAAGTGTCCGAAAAGTAACCTATTTTTGCGGAAACCCACTTTTTAGTACAGTTCGCACACTAAGTACACGTTTCCAAAACTACCTTCATATACCAAACTTATTTTCCAATTTTGAATTTATCTTGCCAATTTTCAAGTGTTTAGATCTATACGTTCACATAATACCAAATGGTACCACATTGAAAGTATAGTACCATATTAGAACTTTTCGTTACATCAAATTTCGAATTTTCAAAAATCCTTTGATACAGCTATCCTGCATTCTATCCGTGACTCTTATTCCAAATTTCAAAAGTTCATTCCGTTTGTCCAATAAAAAGTATTAAACTGTTAGTACCTTTCGTATCCTTTTAGTAGGAATTTCCAAAAACAGAGCCATATCGCACGCCTAGGCACTAAGACTGGTCATATCTACATGAGGAGGCGAAAGTCCTTCCCTTACGTCAGCATAATCATATGCTTTCGTTGCAGTACCTGCTTGGGTGCTACCGTGAGAGTCATCCCAACCATCATGTGGTGGATAACTCTCCCCCACCCAGGCGTGTCAGGAAGGACATACATGATCTAGAGAGGGAGGTCCAGCGCTACAAGAGAGAGCCTCTAGATCAAGAAGCCTATCAGGCAGGTCTGAGTGGCATTCACACCGATGCAGTCGCGGATGCTATTAGCAGTTATAAAGTGAATGCCGTCCTCGGAGTCCACCCCCCATCCATTGCAGCCGAAGAACGTCAGCTGCCTAGACAAACCAGGGTAGTTTTGGCGCAATTACGTTCAGGATGGTGTAGTCGCCTCAATTCGTATTGGGCACGAGTTGATGAAGATGTGCGTGACGCCTGCCCGGCGTGCGATACAGGCCCGCACAATACACTACACCTTTTTAATTGCTCAGCCAAACCTACCCAACTCACTCCAGAGGATCTCTGGCTACAACCCGTTAAAGTAGCCGAATTTCTAAACCTGGAGCTGGAACCAGATTAGCAGAACACAAACACACACATGTACTACTGCTACAACAATAACAACAACAAGACTGGTCATCGAGCAAAATTTCAAGATTTTAGCACCTGTCGTTTCATGTGGGCGTTGATCCTCGGTCAGTCAGTCAATGTCGATTTAGCTATGTCCGTCCGACTCTCTCTCTCTTTCTCTGTCTAAATCACTCTAGCTTCCGAACGAAGTGAAATAAGTTAATAACATTTTACTGTGTGTTAGGTCTGCAGGACTTCTGGTATTGAAAATGGGCTACATAGGTCCACGTGTTGGTATAGTCCCCATATAACTGTACCTCCAAATATTCGGTATTTTGATGCTTTGTTCTCACACTTTTCACCAGAAATGTGTCAAATTTGGAATTTGAAGTTCATTACGTGTACTACATCCCATGACATAAGGTTGCTTATAAACGTAGACGTCTTCGTAAAATCTTATAACCGTACCTCCCAAAATTCGGTGTTTTAATAATTTTAACGACATTATTCAACGGAATTGTTTCGAAATTTGGTATTTGAAGTTCCAGGACTTCGTATAGCCCCCATATAGTGATACCTCTCCGCATTCTGTATTTTGATGACTGTCGCTAAAGTCATCGGAATTGTTTCAAGTTACGTATTTGAAAATCGCAATGGCCTATGACAAAAAATGCGTATACGGGTCCAGGCCTTCGTATAACCCCCATATAGCGATACATCCCTATGTTCGGTATTTTTATACCCTCCACCATACATAATATAGAGGGTATATTAAGTTCGTCATTCCGTTTGTAACTCATCGAAATAATAATTTTAGACCCAACAAAATATATATATTCTTGATCAGCGTAAAATTCTACGACGATTTAGCCCTGTCCCTCCGTCCGTCTGTTGTAATCACGCTACAGTCAAAACGAATTAACATAGAAACCTAAAATTTTGCACAGACCTATCTCTTGTCTGCAGGCAGGTCATGTTCGAAGACATGTCGTTCCACGATATCGTATAGCCCCCATATAACGGTACTCCCGATATTCGCTATTTTAATGATTTTAGCCACATTTTTTAACGGAATTGTCTGATATTCTACAAAGGAGTTCCATGTGAGTACTTTACCCCAGACATAGATTTGTCTATATAGGTCCACAATATCGTATATCCCCCAATATATCGGCACCTTCCGATATTTGGTATTTTTAAAATTTTTTATTGAATTTTTTTTTTTTTTTTGAAAATTTTCATAATTCCTTCCAAATGGTGGAGGGTATTCGAAGTTCGGCCGGGCGAACTTACTGCTTTTTTACTTATTATGATTTTAACAGTATTTTTAACGTTTTTTTTTCTTCAAAATTTTTAAATTTCTCCCAAACGGTGGGGGCTATTTAAAGTTCGGCCCGGCCGAATTTACTACTTTTTTACATGTTTTATACAACATTTATCTCCATTACTTTTTTTAGGCACTTACTCCTAACTCTCTCTATGAGCTCATATTAAATTCTTACAAGGATAACATACATTATTTTCTTGTCTCCTTTTTTGGTATTGATATTTCCTCTGTCAAATTTCCATTGACATTTATCTGTACGACTCGGATGCCAATACTGACTCCCAATGCAATACAATTTTGTGTCATCTATACTAATATACGTTTTGGAAACAGTGTTTTAAATTGGTTAATTTTTATTATTATTTTGAGTTTTGAAATTTGACGAAGAAAATAAAATATTTAGCCGATTAAACGTGGCGGCTTTTTTTCTTAGTTCCTGTTCAAATTTATTTGTGATTCCAAACAAATCCCTAACCTGTCACGTTTCCTTTGCCATTTTATCACAATTCTTGTCATGTATCTCCATGACATTGATTGACAATATTTTCTTGTTTCTCAATATGAGTTTTCAATTTGAATTGATGTTGTTGTCCATATTGTATTTTGTTGTGTTTCTTACATGACAACGTTGTTTCTCTTTTATGGCAGCTACATTGATTTGTGTCAAGGTTAGAGAAACTCACATCAAAGCTAAGGGCACCAATGAGATGGGGGTGGGCCTTAATCTTTGGCAACAGTTTTTTTTTTTGGCATTTTTCTTTTTTTCAATATGTATTCTTAAATTATCATTCATTTAAATGTCAGAAAAAAAACGAAGCTATAAATATTCAAATTTGTTATGTTCTCCCCCTTTTATCCTTCTTGTTTTTTTTTTTCTTCTTTTGCAGGGCGATGCCTTGGTTACCACCTGCTATTACAATACCGTTGGCTATGAAAAGGCTACACTTGGCGGTTTCTCCATTAGCGATGAAATGTGCGTTAATTACATCCACTACTATCCCGCCACCAAGCTGGAGGTCTGCAAGAGCTCCGTATCAGAGGATGCCTTAGAGAATTATTTCATCTATATGAAAAAGTAAGTATGGCAACGAGAAAAGTTTTAGAATTTAAAGTGTGTGTGGTTGTGTGGGAGCGCGGTTGCCCTGAAGAATGCCATAATGAGATTAATGACAAACTGCTGAGGTTCGGAAACTGAGGTTTCCAACCAAAAAACTGAAGAAGAAAAAGAAGTTTGCTTTAATTATGTTTATGTATGACATGAATATTCATTACTTAATGACGAAAATTGTTATCGAAAATGTGACTAAACATTATTTTAGGTATTAAAGTTTTGCGGTGTTTTGGGCTCTTTTGCAAGGGTATCGCCAAAAAGGAGTATTGTATATGGCTCCTTATTACATGATTTTAATGGCTTAATTAAGAACATGATATAATAAACAAACTGTAAAGTGGGATCTTCCAAATAAGAATGAATTTGGGATGACAGCAAAGCACAATTCCAAGCGGATTATGAAGATTTAATGCAAACAAAATTACACTGTGCTACAAATTTGAATTTTTTTCAATAATTACTAGGAAAATCCAGCAAATTATGAAATGCAGAAAATTGAAGACATGTGGAAGGATGTCGTCAAAGCCAAAAATATTCTCCATCAAAATTTTACTATAAGAGTCTAAATTTTTCCTATACATATGTCAAAAACACATTTTAAGGTTAAAGCCGTACTTTATATGAGTTTATGCAAAAATCTCTAACAAAGCATTATTTTGGAAGGATAACGTCAAAGACAATAATATTCTCTATCAAATTTGCCTATAAGTCACCACAGAAAAGTCACCATCTCTATCTCAAATCAAAAAAAAAAAAAAAAAAAATGCACAATATTCCCAAAAAAAAAAAAACGAAAATATTTCCAAATTTTTATACCCTCAGCCATATGGCTAAAGAGGGTATATATCATTTGCCTCATCTTAATAACTTAACTTGGTACATCGTAATATTATTATCAAACTTAGATCATATTCGGAGATGGGCAAAAAAGTCAAAATTTTCAAAAAAAAAAAAATGCTGGATAAAAAGAGAAATGAAAATCCGATTTTGCTCCAGCTTTGCAAATCCTAATATTTGAGTCAGTGCTAAGTCAGGTGCGAAAATATCAATATCGGTCCACTCCACAAATGGTTAACATTTTGAATAATTGTAACTCTTATAAAATGTTATGTAAGAGTCCGATTGTTTTCAATTACACACATCACAATATTTTTATTAATCCAGGGTCTGGTGTTAAGATGGAATATATCGCTCCACTCCTTCTGGTACATCCCCCATAAAGGCTGAAAATGTTAAGTACCCAGAAGCTCATAAAACATGAAATTAACATCCGATTCCATTCAGACTTGGTACATCTTAATATTTCCATAAACAAAAATTCTGCTATAAATATTGTAGAGATCGGACCATTACTTCTGGTACCTCCCCCATAAAGGTCCAAATTTCGAATAACCAAAACGATCATAAAATCCGGAATAAGCATCCGGTTCTTTTTATATTTTACATTTTTATACCCTACAACACTATGTGTTCGGGGTATTATAAGTTTGATTGGACCAAAAATTATGTAACACCTCAAAATATTCGTTTCCCACATAGGAAAGTATATATGAATCTTCCTAGCTCGCCAAGCTGAGTCGATCTAGCTATGTATGTCCGTCCGTGCGTCCATCCATCTGTCCATGGTACTTTGTAATCAAGCTACAGGTCGCAATTATGAACCGATCCTCACGAAATTGAAAATGGAGATGGGATTAGGTTCAAAATAGAACCCTGTTGCTTTTGGAGATTATCGCATAATATTTAGGGGTTGAAATGAACCAAATACTGAAAAATTTCCTCATTTTGCAGTTGCTCTACAGGTCACAATTATAGACCAATCAAAGCATGGGGCTAGAGCTTAGTGCTGGGCCTTCCAATTTTAATGGTCATCGGGTAATATTTAGTGGGTTAAATAGACCATAACATTTGTGTTAAATAAAAGGTAAATTTTCCATTAAACCGCGAATATTTTTAATTCCGCCGAAATCTCAAGTAGATGAATAGGTCAATTCTGACCGTTACGTAGATGCCGATAGTAAATATATCGGTTATATATAGCGAAATATTTACCATGTATATATACAAAGGAAGGGGATGTTTGCTATGGAATGGCTGGACCGATTTTAACAAATTTTGTCAATTCAGAATGCCCTCTTGCCATAAAAGGATAAAATCTAAAAAAATCGCATAAAAAGATGCCAAGTAGGATGCTAATATAGATTTTGTAGTATTTTGTGACATTTTTTTATTTTTTCATATTTTTTATCGCATGCGATTTTTTCAATCTGACTTAAAATATTGAAGTGTATATCTTGTAATATTTTTTCACCTTACAACACAGGTTGGGGCTATTATATACAGATTGCAATTATCGTCCGATCCTCACGAAAATTTTCATAAGAGTAAGGTAAGGCTCAGTAGGGCTAGACATATTGTTTTCAAATATATCCGCAATATATTTAGGGGTTGAAATGGACCAACAACTAAAAATTTTCCTGATTTTGCAGCCGTTATAAATGTCACAAATGGAAACCAAAGGACACGGAATCTCGCATGAAGTTAGAGTTTAGGACAACGGGTAGAATGGAATACTACTTTTGTGTAAATAAATACCAGCATTACTTACAGGCTTTTTTACGTGACATAATTTCAAAAGCGAAATCTTCTGTAATTTGGATTTGGGCATAGAGAGGCTTCTAACATATTGTAGTGTTGTAGGGTATCACATAGTCGGCCCCGCACGGCTATAGCCTTTGCTTGCTTGTTTGAAATTCAAATAAAAAATTCCCTTTAAACGGGATAGTAGCAAATCAAAAGATTCTACAAAATAATGTGTCATTAAATTCTACTAAAGGTCCTGGAAGACGTCAAGAGTCTAAATCTGAACTAAATGTATGTCAAAAACACATTTAAAATCCGTACTTTATGTGAGTTTATGCAAAAATCTCCTACAAAACATTTTTTTTAGAAGGATGATGTAAAAGAAAAAAATATTCTCCACAAACTTGACTATAAGGCACCACAAATCTCCTTCTCTTCTTCAAATCAAAAAAAAAAAATAAAAATAAAAAAATTGCATCAATATTCCCAAAAACCCCCAAAATATTTTCTAATTTTTATACCCTCAGCCATATGGCTAAAGGGGTTATATATCATTTGATACTGCAAAAACGTGCCTCATCTTAATAACGTTTTAAGGCCCTTTGGACCAAATCCGTTTCAGGACATTTGGAGTGGATCTTGCGATGTCCTTCGTCAGTCTGTCTGCCAAGTGCGCACGATAACTCTCGAAGGGTCTATCAGATTAGGTCCAAACTTGGCACATCGTAATCGTATTATCAAACTTAGATCGTATTCGGAGTTGGGCAATATCGGTCTACTCCTTCTGGTATCTCTCCAAAAAAAGGTCAAAATTAATAAAAAAAAAGCAAAACAAAACAAACAAAAAAAAAAAATACTGCACAGAAAGAGAAATGAAAATCCGGTTTTGCTCAAACTTTGCAAATCCTAATATTTGCATCAGTGCTAGGTCAAGTGCGAAAATGGACAATATCAGTCCACTCCATGAAGTACCTCCCCCACAAATGGTTAAAATTTTGAATAATTATAACTCTTAAAAAATGTGATGTAAGAGTCCCATTGTCCTCAAATTGCACACATCACAAAACTTTTTATTAATACAAGCTCTGGTGTTACGATGGAATATGTCGGTCCACACCTGCTGGTACATCCCCCACAAAGGGCCAAATTTTCATAAAACGTGAAATTAACATCAGATTCCATTCAGACTTGGCACATCTCAATATTTACATGAACAAAAAATCTGCAATAAATATGGTAGAGATGGGACAATTCCTTCTGGTACCTCCCCCACAAAGCGCCAAAATTTTGAACAATCAAAACGATTATAAAAACCGAAAAAAGCATCGTGTTCTCTTTAAATAACACATATTACAATATTTTTATTAAACTTAGGTCTGGGGTGAAGATGGGATATATCGGTCTACTCCTTCTGGTGCTTCCCCCACAAGGGGTCAACATTTTGAGTGCCCATGAAACTCTTAAAACGCGAAATTAACATCCGACCTCATTCAGACTTGGTACATCTCAATATTTCCATCAAAACAATATATGTTATAAAGATGGTAGAAATCAAACTATTCCTTCTGGTACCTCCCCCACATAGGGTTCAAGATTTTGAAAAACAAAATGCTTAAAGAAAGCGAAATAAGCATCCAACTCTCTTCAAATTTTACACATCCAAATATGTTTGCTAACGCAAGATTTGATGTGAAGATGATATATATCTGCCAATCCCTTCTGGTACCTCACCCACAAAGGTTCACAATTTCCAATACTTATATCTGTCATAACTTGCGAAACAATTCGGCGATTCTTTATGATTTATTTTGTAAATAGTTGATTTTGTAAATAGTTTTTCTAGCTTAAAAACTCAAAATGCCAAAATTTGCCGAAGTTAAATTAAAAACATCGTCTAAATGTAAAAAATAATTCAATTCGGTGTTATTCTTATATAATTTTCATAAAAACTTTTGTACCTAGGTATTTGGTTTATTCAGAGATAGTAAAATTTTATTTAAAATATTTTTTCCTTTGACAACTTCCCCCCAAAACTACATTTTATGTTACTTTTTGTAGTGAACTCGAAATAAGGCCGAGGAAAAATTAATGAAAAAATTAGGAAATATTTTCGGTTTTTTTCTTTTTTTGGAAATATTGCAATTATATTTTGCTATGCTGTAGAGATAGGGATTTTCTTTCTTCGGAGGAAAGTGAAATTTAATGAAGAATATTCGGATATTGAAATTTAATGAAGAATATTGTTGTCTTTGACATCATCGTTCTTAAATGATGTTTTGTTTGAGATTATGGCATAAACTCATATAAAGTACGGTTTTAACCCTAAAATATTTTTTAATATTTATAAATGCCTGACGTTTTTACTTTAGACGTCTCCTAGGACCTTCAGTAAAATTTTAGCACAAATAGTTTTGTAGATTGTTTTAGCCTTCTACGATTATGTTTAAAAGGCGATTTTACCCATATTTTCAAAAAAATTAAGAACAAGTTAAAAAGCAGTAAGTAACGAATTTGGAATTTTTCAAAAAATAAAATCCTTAAAAAATTCTGTAAAAATTTAAAAAATACCGAATATACCCGTTATATTGGGGTCTATACGAAGTGGGCCTACATAGGCATTGTTTGTCATAAGCCATGTCATAAGCCACATATTCAAATTCGAAACTTGAAATAAATGGTGAATAATGTAGCTAAAATCATGTAAATATCGTATATAGGAAGGTATCGTTATATCGGAGCTGTTCGAAATTTTAGCCTTCTATCTCAATTCGAAAGATAGCATGATTACAACGGACAGACAGACAGACGGACATGGCTAAATCGTCTTAAAATTTTACGCTGATCAAGAATATATATACTTTGTTGGATCTGACATGAGTGTTTCGAGGAGTATGTATGGTGGAGGGTATAAAAAGACCTCTTTAATGTCTTGATTGATGGTTAAATATTTCGACTACCTAAATTCTTTTCTCAGTATTACCGCAGACACTTTTTATATCTTAAATCAAGGGATTTCAAGGAATCTTAATTCGAAAATTTAAAATTGTGGAGGAACAACTTGCCTTCGCTCCCGATACACGAGTCTCCTAGTTTATACAATATTTCCATAATCTGCTGGATTTTTCCGGAATTATTTTTTGTGTTGCACAGTGTTGCTAAAGTATTTGAAGAATTTTAAACTCGTTTAAAGAGACTCCTATTGTGGCTGTCCTCCATTTTTGAATGATATGGGTACATATCTTGAGAGATTCGCTAATTCTCGTCTAAAAAGGTGTTAGATCTTCAAAAACTGGAACGCAAACTATGGCATGTTAAAATACCCACCCGACTATTATAGCCTGGATATTTTTCATATTACTTCACGTTTTAACCCGACCAGCGGTGTGGTTTAAAAATTAATTTATATCCCACCACAAGTTAAATTTCTTAAAAGTTCTTCAACCCTTCGCGCTCTCATACAAATTTATGGCAGAAATGAATTGTGTGTCCTTGAGGCCCCGGAAGACAAGTCGAGCAGAACAATTTAATAATGCAATCATACAATGATGAAAATTGTCCTTTGGCAGCAATTTCAAATAATTTGTTCTTGTTCTTGCTGGCAATTGAATAATGGCTTCCAGGACGGCATATACTAGACACCCACCCACACACATACACACACGCCGGCAATGTCATTTTCCACCACAATTGCCACACTTTGTGCCCCCTCTCCCCACCCCCCACAACTGTTATACAACTGACTTAATCTCATGTTTTTGTTTTGTCTTCTATTTGTATTTCCTTCAACTGTTTTCTTTTTTTTTCTCTCCCTCTCTCTTCTCTTTTTTCTTCCATTTACCATCATACCTAACAGGAAGGAACATCAGCGCCACATACATTTGAATGGAGCACGTTCGAAGAATTATCGCAGCATCAAGTGGACACAACCACGGGTCGATCAATTGTATACAATGTACATAGAGGAGCCACTTAGTATGCAGTGCAACAAATCTGATGGCTTCCGTTTTGAGGGCTACGAATGGGAGGGTGCACCCATAACAACGGTCCAAATCAAAATCCCAATGCAAAGAAAAGTGTGCCCTCACTACAATCCGTTGTGGTTGAAACCACTGGATAGGGGCGAATGTGATTTGCTGGGCGAGTGTATATACTAAGGCGTGGTGCGAATGCTGTTGCGGATGGATTGAGGTGGCAGAAGTCGAGACCAAAGGATACAGAGTTCGAAGTATGAATGTAAGCGAAGAGTATTGGCAAGCTGACACAATGTGTATTTTTTTTTTGTTGCATCCAGGAAGACTTAGAACAACGTATATGCACTGCAATTGAGAAATGCAGAAATGAAACAGAAACCAAAAAGTTATTGAATTTTATTTTGGGTATTATGTTTATTTATTTTTTTCATATTACTCTCAAAGAGCAAACACGTTTTTGTATAACAAATTCTTTTCGATTTCATCGAGATTATGTTGACGCTAAGGGTTCACTGGCTTGCAAAATGATAGTAGAATATTATTTTCCATAGAACCTTCATATATATTTCAAGGAACTTTATTTGTTTTCAATGTCGTCATTTTTTTTAAGAAAAAAATTAAGAGAAACAACAATTTGTAGAAACATTGACTGGTTTTCCGCACATAGAAGACCTCTAAGAAGACATCTGTGTATGGAAGGCCCTTTCAATATCTTGTATATACAGTAGACTTTTTAATGGTCTCCTATTAGAAAAAAACATTTTATAGGTCTAGAAGACTTCTCAAAGGTCCTCTATGTATATCTAAAATCTTTACAATCGTTTGTGTTAAAAATACCTTTTAAGGATCTTCTACGTCTAGAAGGGCTTTTAAGGATACATATTCTCTATACAAGAGGCCTCCTATGGACCTTCAATGAGCAGAAGTCTCTTTGAGGGTCTCTTATATAAAGAAGACGTCGTAAAGGGCATCTTATTTGTAGATGATCCATGTATAATAAACCTCTTCAAGTTCTTCTATGTGCAGGGCCTTTTCCTTTAAACCCTTTTTATTTTTTTTTTTTTTAATAGGAAGTATCTAAGAAAAAATACATTTAATCTGTAGAATATGTCTTAAAGGTTTATATACATAGAAGTGATCACAAATTTATCTTCTTATATCTTTAAAAGAAGAAAATGTTAGTATGTTTGTTTGTAATTTATTGACTCGAAAACCGCTGCACAGATTTCCCTGAAAATTTCCAAGTATACTACAACATTGCCTGAAATTTGGAGATTGCCACTTGGAACTGGTGCGATAGCATTAGAATCGGAGTTACCGCCCAAAATTTAGATTTTATATGCACATACCTATTGATCGATTACAGATACAGTCTCCAAATTTGGAATGAGTGACTGGATTTGATCAGAAAATATATTTGCCAAATTATATTGAAATCGGTTCAGATTTGGATATAGGTCCCATATATATTTTCGGTCGATTTCACATATTTGATGCACCAAAGAAAACTAGGATCTTTACATTTTACACTAAAAAAAAACTTAAATTTATATACCCTTTGTGCATTTGTTTGTAACAGGTTGAAGGACACTTCCTTAGATACACCCATAGTTATATGTTAGGATCTTCATAGAATCACTTTCTGAGTCGATTTATGCATGTCAGTTCGTCTGTCCATGTATTTTTGTGAACAAAATGCAGGTCGTATTATTTATCCAATTGCGATGAAACTTTCCAAACAATATTTTTTTTTTGCCCAAGGACAAATCCCATGGAAATTGGTGGGAATCGGTTAAAAGTTATAGCTATAGCTCCTATATATGTTTCATCCGATTTGGGATCTCCACAAGAATGATATTTTTACCAGACAACTTATGGAGCTCGAAAAAACCTATATATATATATATATATATGGAATGAATTTTGGTACATCCGACTGAAATCATCCTGGAAACCAGTACTTCAAATTTGGTTCAGATATACCTATAACTCCCATATATATGCTTTATCCGATTTGGGGTTTAAAGTCCCTCACAAGTGTAACAAGTATTCCACAACAATGATCTTTGGTACCAGATATCAGATACAGCTCCGAAATAAGTGTATTAAATTTTGTCAAGATCAGTTCAGATTTGGATATAGCTGCCATATATATCCTTAATCCGATTTAAGGTGGCTAATATCAGCCCAAATGGAGTGAATTTCGGGATGTACGTTTCCATTTTGTATATATATTTCTTAATATAATCCTTCTCGAAGTGCTATCATATACTCTATAGCAATGTTATTTGGCCAAATTTAGTGAAAATAGATTCATATATTAGTTCCATCTGAAGCCAATCTATAACTGTTCAAAAGCCAAATGTTGATAGGTGGTATGATCTACTTCAAATAAATTCTTTTGTTACGGGAGCTTTACTAAATATGCATAGTGGTATTGGGTATCATATAGACGGCTCCGCCCGACTTTTAACTTTTCCTTACTGATTTTTTTGAATATGCTATAAAAAGAAATTACTCAATTTTTCTTCTAAAAATTTCTTTTTTATTTGAAAGTACAACCTCTCCGGTTAACAATGCATTCAAATTGCTGTTTTGGCTGGCCATGCCTACACGATTTTTATACCCCCATCCATATGACTACAGAGGGTATATATCATTTGATAACGCCAAAACGTGTTTATCAAAAAAATGGTTTTAAACCCTATGTCTCCTTGGACCAAATCCGATTCAGAACATTTTGAGTCGATCTAGAGATGTCCGTCCGTTCGTCTGTCTGGCTGGTGCGCACGATAACTGTCGAAGGGGGTATCCGATTTGATCCGAACATGGTACATCGTAATATTATCGTCGAACTTAGATCCAGTTTGGGGATGGACAATATAGGTCTACTTCCGCTGGTACCTCAACCACATAAGGTCCAAATTTTCACAGAAAGTAATTTACCATATAGAAGAAGACAAGATCATCAAATTTTATGAAAACTTTGCATATTCAAATATCAGTGCTACGTCAGGTGGAAAAATGGACAATACCGGTCCACTCCATCATATACCTCCCAAACAAAGGGTTCTGAATAATTATAATTCTTATAAAATGCGAAATAATCATCAGATTCTCTTAAAATTTCACACATATTAATATTTCCACTAACACAAGATTAGCTACCAACTTGAAATATGTCTGGCCACTCCTACTGATACCTTCCCCACAGAAGAGCTTAACATTTTAAATAAAAAACGCTCATGAAGTGCGAAATGAGTATCCGATTGTCGTCAAACTTCACACATCTGAGTATTTCTTTATGGTGTGAAGATGTGATGGATCACAATTTTCATTACTTATATCTCTCATAAGTGGCGAAAGAAGTTAACGATTCTATTCAAAATTGGTATATCAAAATATTTCTCTCTGATGTAAACAGAGTAAGTTCTATCCACTTCTTCTTGTACCTCTCCCATAAAAAGTAATGATTTTGTATAATTTGCGTAATATTGGAAATATATGTTCCCAACCCCACATGTCTTTGTTCATATGTTTGTAACATGGAGAAGGATGAGAGACATATATAACTTTTAATGATCTTCATAGAATCTCTTTCTGAGTCGATTAATGCATGTCAGTCCGCCTCTATGTCCAAAGTGCAGCTCGGATTTGTTATCCGATTGAAATGAAATTTTCAAATTCTGTTTTTTTTTTTGGCCCCAGGACGAACCATACTGAAATTGGGGAGAATCGGTAAAAAATTTGGACATAGCTCCCATACATATCCTCAACCGATTTGAGGTTAATTGTGCACTAAATGACTAATATCAGTCCCAATGACCTGAATTTTAGCATATCCGACCGAATTCAGTCTAGAAGCAGGTATATTTTTTGACAATCTTCCAAAATTCTTCTACAGAACGAATATGTCTTCTGCAATTGTTAAAACCTACTTTGAAATTCATTAAAACCTCTAAAAGGACTTTGATGTATTGGCGAGCTCTGACAAATATTGCACTGGCAGAGAAAATGCTCCAATGTCATCTTACCCGTAAGCCCTACATATGAACTTGTAGGCCCAGGTGACTCTTTAGGATACCTGTTACCCCACTAATCGCTTTCCGGTCTAAAAAATGGATGGTTCTTCGTTTTAATCTCATTCATTGTTTCATAGGGATATATGGGTGTTTCTTGAGCATGTTTTTAACTCTAGACGTGACGCATTTAGCGGTATTGGGTTTTCAAATTTCTGTTCCTAATGCCGTCGCCCTCATCCTTGTGGCCGCGTATCTGTGCTGACGTTATTGAAGGCGCCTTCTATGCATCCTTTTATCGAAGGTGCTCTCGATGTGGTGTATAACCTCATGTAATGCGGTTTCCACTCCACGTCCTGTAACGTATGCTTGTTTTTATACCCTACACCACATAGTGGTAAGGGTATTATGTCTTTGTGCATTTGTTTGTAACATGGAGAAGGAAACGAGATAGACCCATAGTTACTTTTGAGTACCTTCATAGAATCACTTTCTGAGTCGATTTATGCATGTCAGTCCGTCTGTCCGTCCGTCTGTCCATGTATTCTTGTGATCAAAATGCAGGTCGCATTTATTATCCGATTGAGATGAAATTTTCCAAACAATATTTTTTTGGCCCAAGGACGAACCCTATTGAATTTGGTGAGAATCGGATCAAATTTAGATGTAGCTCCCATATATATCTTCATCCGATTTCGGGTTAAATGTGCACCAAATGTCCACTATCAGTCCAAATTACCTGAATTTTGGCACACCCAACCGAGTTCGGCCTAGAAGCAAGTATATTAAATTTGGAGAAAATCGGTTCAGATATAGCTATAGCTCCCATATATATCTTTCATCCGATTTGGTGTTTAAGCCTCTCACATTCGTAATATGCACTCCACAAGAATGATATTTGGTACCAGATATAAGATACAGCCCAGAAATAGCTGTTTGTAATTTTATCGAAATCGGTTCAGATTTGGATATAGCTCCCATATATATCTTCATCCGATTTCGGGTTAATTGTGCACCAAATGGCCGATATAAGTCCAAATGGACTGAATTTTAGTACATCGGACCAAATTCAGCCTAGAAGCAAGTATATCAAATTTAGTGAAAATCGGTTCAGATATAGATATAGCAACCATATATATGTTTCATCCGATTTAGTGTTTTAGTCCCATACATTCGTAATATTCACTCCACAACCGTGATATTTGGTACCAGGTATTAGATGGAGCACAGGAATAGCTGTTTTAAATTTTATCGAAATCGGTTCAGATTTGGATATAGCTCCCATATATATCTTCATCCGATTTCGGGATAAATGTGCGCTAAATGGTCAATATCAGCCCAAATCACCTGAATTTTCGTGCATAAGACCGAATTCAGTCTGGAAGCTAATACGTAAAATTTGGAAAACCCCGGTTCAGAGATAGCTATAGTTCATAAAATGCACGATAGAATTAGATAGATTTTGATTTTGTACCAAATATCTCATAGAGCTCTGAAATGTCCTGTATAAACCTTTTTACGAGAGCTCTACTAAATATGCATAGTGGTGTAGGGTATCATATAGTCGGCCC